CCTGCCTCAGCCTCCTGAGTAGCTGGGATTACAGGCACGCGCCACCAGGCCCAGCTGATTTTTTGTATTTTTTTTTTTTTTAGTAGAGACGGGGTTTCACCATGTTGACCAGGATGGTCTCGATCTCTTGACTTCGTGATCCACCCGCCTCGGCCTCCCAAAGTGCTGGGATTACAGGCTTGAGCCACCGCGCCCGGCCCTCCGTAGATTTTCTTTACATTTTATTGGTTGTTTCCTTCCTGTGCAGAATCTTTTTCGTTTGATGTAGCCCCATTTGTTTATTTCAGCTTTTGTTGCCTGTGCTTTTGGTTTCATGTCCAAGAAATAACTGTCAAGACCAATGTCATGGACCTGTTTCTCTGCTTTTTATTTTTCGAGATGGAGTTTTGATCTTGTTTCACAGGCTGGAGGGCAATGGCGCCATCTTGGCTCACTGCAATCTCCGCCTCCTGGGTTCAAGCGATTGTCCTGCCTCAGCCTCCCGAGTAGCTGGGATTACAGGCATGTTCCACCACACCCAGCTAATTTTGAATTTTTAGTAGAGACAGGGTTTCTCCATGTTGGTCAAGCTGGTCTTGAACTTCTGACCTCAGGTGATCCACCTGCCTCGCCCTCCCAAAGTACTGTGATTATAGGCATGAGCCACGGCACCCAGCCTATGTTTTTTTTTTTTCTAGGACCATTAAAGTTTCAGGTCTTACATTTAAGCCTTTCATCTATCATATTTGGATTTTCATGGGTACATAATAGGTGAACATATTTATGGAGCATATGAGATATTTTGATACAGGCATACAATGCATAATAATCAAATCGGGGTAAATGGGGTAGCTATTGCCACAAGCATTTATCATTTCTTTGTGTTGCAGACATTCTAATTATACTCTTTTAGTTGCTTTTAAATGTATAATACATTATTGTTGGCTGCAGTCGCCCTGTTGTGCTATCGAACAGTAGATCTTATTCATTCCATCTCACCAGATTTTTGCACCCATTAACCATCCTCACTTTCCTCCTGGTGGCTCCTCACTACACTCCCCAGCCTCTGGTCACCATTATTCTACTCTGTATCTCTGCGAGTCAAGTTGTTTTAATTTTTATCTCTCACAAATGGATGAGAATATGTGAGGTTTGTCTTTTTGTGGCTGGCTTATTTCACTTAACATAATGTCCTCAAGCTCCATCCATGCTGTTGCAAGTGACAGAATTTCATTCTTTTTTATGGTTGAATAGTACTCCATTGTGTATATACACCAAATTTTCTTTTTAGAATATTTTTATTATTTTTAAAAAGATAAATATGAGATGGGGGTCTCGCTATGTTGCCCAGGCTGGTCTCAAACTCCTAGGCTCAAGCAATCCTCCTGCCTGAGCCTCCCAAAGTGCTGGGATTACAGGTGCGAGCTGCTGCACCTGATCTGTACCACAAATTCTTTATCCATTCATCTGCTGATGGACACTTATGTTGCTTCCAAATCTTGGCTATTGTGAATAGTGCTGCCATAAACACAGAGTGCAGATATATTTTTAAAATACTGATTTCCTTCCTTTTGAATCTATATCTAGCTGTGGGATTGCCGGATCATATGGTAGTTTTATTTTTAGTTTTTTGATGAACCTCCAACTGTTCTCTGTGGTGGCTGTACTAATTTACATTCCCGCTGACAGTGTATGAAGATTCCCTTTTCTCCACATCCGCGCCAGCATTTGTTATTGCCTGTCTTTTAGATAAAAGCTATTTTTACTGGGGTGAGATAATATTTCATTGTAGTTTTGATTTGCATTTCTCTGATGATCAGTGATGTAGAGCACCTTTTCATGTGTCTGTTTGCCATTTGTGTGTCTTGTTTTGAGAAATGTTTATTGAGATGCTTTGTTCATTTTCAAAATTCATATTATTAGATTATTTCCTATAGAGTTGCTTGAGCTCCGTATAGATTCTTGTTATTAATTTCTTCTCAGATCGATAGTTTGCAAATGTTTTCCCATTCTGTGGGTAGTCTCTTCACTGTATTGATGGTTTCCTTTGCTGTGCAGAAGCTTTTTTTGTTGTTGTTCTGAATAGACAATGATGTCATTTATTTTATTTAAAATGTTTACTCCAAGAAATATATATATTTAAAAAATACAATTACAACACTAAACCAGGCACCTTAGACCAAATCACAACCTCCTCTTTGATTCTTCTTCACGCTAAGCTTCTTTCGAATTCCTGTTCCTGAACTGGAAGACCAGTCAGATGCCTGCAGGGTCAGCGCCAAGCACATTCCCAGCTGGGCAACTGTACCTTCCTCTTGGAGTGCACGATGCCCTTCCCCCCAACTCCATGTTTTAAAGGATTTAACCCATAAGGAAGTTCATTTTCAATCTAAGCCAAAAGGAGGTGCAGACAAGGCAGTCTTCACTTCAAAGGTCTCTTTCCTGCTCCAGTCCCTGGGTAGGGTTCTAGAATTGGCTGGCTGCCAGGTTTACATGAGGCTTCCAGACGATATAAGTCCAGCTCCGCCCAGGACAGCTCCTGCAAAGGCTGGGACCTCGGTTGCAGCATCCTCAACCCTCTTGGTGACCGTGACTCAAAGGAGAGACCTCAAGGATGCCAGGAGCTCAGGTGCCTGGGCTGCGTTCCAGGAAAGAGGCCTGTCCAGGAAATGGATCAGCCTGTTGCATGGAAGCTTGAGCCAGAGATGGTGGTTTCAGGTTATTTGGACAAACTAGGTTCCTTTAGCAAAGCTCTGAAGTGGCAGAAGCTTTTTAACTTGATGTGATCCCATTTGCCCATGTTTGCCTTGGTTGCCTGTGCTTCTGGAGTGCAAGAAGTCTTTGCCCAGACCAATGTCCTGGAGAGTTTCCCCAAGGCTTTCTTATAGTAGTTTCATAGTTTGAGGTCTGAGATTTAAGTTTTTAATCCATTTTGATTTTATTTTTGTATATATCAAGATATAGCAGTCTAGTTTCATTCTTTTTTATATGGATATCCAGTTTTCCCAGCACCATTTATTGAAGAGACTGCCTTTTCTCCAGTGTTCTTGTCACCTATGTCAAAAATGAGTTCACTGTAGATGTATGACTTTATTTCTGGGTTATCTATTCTGTTCCACTGGTTATACACCACCAATCAGATGTAACCCAAAGAACACTACCTCAACGCATTTAATAAGCAAACTCCCAAACGTCAAGGATAAAGAAAGGATCCTAAAAGCAACAAGAGAAAAGAGATAATAACATCCAAGGGAGCTCCAATACATCCGGCAGCAGGCTTCTCCATGGAAACCTTACAGGCCAGAAGAGACTGGTATGAAATGTTTAAAGTGCTGAAGGAAAAAACTCTTCTATCCAAGAATACTATATCTAGGGAAAATGTCCTTCAATTATGAAGTGAAAATAAGGACTTTCCAAGACAAATGAAGCTGAGGGATTTCATCAACACCAGACCTGTCCTACAAGAAATGGTAAGAGAGTTCTTCAATCTGAAACCAAAGGATGTTAATGAGCTATAAGAAGTCATCTGAAGGCACAAAACTCACTGGTAATAGTAAATATACAGACAAACACAGAATATTATAACACTGTAATAGTGGTGTCTAAACTACTCTTATCTTGAGTAGAAAAACTAAAAGGTGAACCAATCAGAATAACAACTACAAGTTTTCTAGACATGGACAGTTTAACAAGATATAAATACAAACAACAAAAAGTTAAAAAAAAATGAGGATGAAGTTAAAGTAGCAAGTTTGCAGTTTTCTCTTTGCTTGTTTGTTTTTGCAATCAGTGTTGTCATCAACTTAAAACACTGGGTTATTTGCAAGCTTCATGGTAACCCCAAATCAAAAACCCTACAACAGATACACAAAAGATAAAAAGCAAGAAATTAAAACATATCACCAGAGAAAATCACCTGTAATGCAAATCCCCACAATCACTGCACTCTCTCTCCCCCAAACACACAGGCTGTCTCTCTGCACCATGTGTGCACTGCCAGTGGATGGGGGAGGGGTGGTGTCAGCAATTCAAAACTGTCTTATACTCTTCAGTACCTCTTTTTTTTTAAAATATGATGTTCAAACTAGGTACTGTGATTACTCAGCTGACTTTTGGTTCTTATGAAGGTGCTTTCTCGTGTGGATGGTTGTTCAGTTTGGGTGTTCCTATGACAGTGATGATTGCTGGAAGGTTCTAATCAGCCATCTTGCTCTGCTGAAAATCAAATCCATTTTGAGTTGATATTTGCATATGGTGTAAGATAAAAATTCAATTTTATTCATTTGCATATGGATATGGTTCTCTCAACACTATTTATTGAAAAGACTATCTCTTCCTCATTGTGTAATCCTGATGCCTTTGTCAAATAGTAGTTGATGATATATACATGGGTTAACTCTATAGTCTCTATTCTGTTCCATTAACCTATATGTCTGTTTTTATGCAAAAACCATACTGTTTTGATTACTATAGCTTTGTGGTATAATTTGAAACCAGGGACTATGCTTTCTCCAACTTGCTTTATCTTACTCTAGATCACTTTAGCAATTTGGGTCTTTAGTGGCTTTCAACAAATTTTAAGATTATTTCCCCTATTTCTGTGGAGAATGCCATTAGAATTTTGAGAAGGATTGCATTGAATCTGTAGGTTGCTTTGGGTCAAACAAAAATTTTGACAGTGTTAACTCTTTCTTTCTTTCTTTTTGAGCCTCGCTCTGGAGTGCAGTGGCATGATCTTGGCTCACTGCAACTTCCACCTCCCAGGTTCAAGTGATTCTCCTGCCTCAGCCTCCCTAGAAGCTGGGATTACAGGCACTTGCCATCACGCCCAACTAATTTTTTGTATTTTTCGTAGAGACGGGGTTTCACCATCTTGGCCAGGATGGTCTGGATCTCTTGACCTTGTGATCCACCTGCCTCGGCATCCCGAAGTGCTGGGATTACAGGCATGCACCACTGTGCCCAGCCAATATTAACTATTTCAATCTATAAACATGGGATATCTTTCCCCTTTAGTGTACAGATTTTTTTTTTTACCCCCTTGGTTAAATGTATTCTTAAGTATTTCATTCTTTTTGAGGATATTATAAATGAGATGTTTTTCTTAGTTTCTTTTTCAGATAGCTTGTTGTTAGTGTATATTAATGCAACTGATTTTTATGTTCATTTTTATTCTTCAACGTTACTCATTTGTTTATTAATTTTAACATTTTTTGGTGAAGTAGATAAGATTTTCTATACATACTCAAATTATTGGCAAACAAACATAAGTTTACTTCTTCCTTTCTTATTTACATACATTTTATGTCTTGCCTAATTGCTCTTGATAGTACTTCTGGTACTATATTCAATAAGAGTAACAAGAGTGAGGGTCTTTGTCTTTTTCCTGATCTTAGAGGAAAAGCTTTTAGCTTTTCACCATTGAGTATGACATAACTGTGAGCCTGTCATATCTGACCTTTATTATATTGTGGTACATTCATTCTACACTTACTTTGTTGACAATTTTTATCATGAAAGTTGTTTAATTTTGTCAAATGCTTTGTCTGCACCTATTAAGATTACCATATAATTTTTTTTTTTTTTTTTGAGACAGAGTTTCGCTCTTGTTACCCAGGCTGGAGTGCAATGGCGTGATCTGGGCTCACCGCAACCTCTGCCTCCTGGGTTCAGGCAATTCTCCTGCCTCAGCCTCCTGAGTAGCTGGGATTACAGGCACGCACCACCATGCCCAGCTAATTTTTTTTTTTTTTTTTGTAGTTTTAGTAGAGACGGGGTTTCACCATGTTGACCAGGATGGTCTCGATCTCTTGACCTCGTGATCCACCCGCCTCGGCCTCCCAAAGTGCTGGGATTACAGGCGTGAGCCACCGCGCCTGGCCATACCATATAATTTTTATATTTCATTCAGTTAATGTGGTGTATCACACTTATTAATTTGCATACATTGCCACTGCACTCCAGCCTGGGCAACAGAGCAAAACTCTGTCTCAAAAAAAAAAAATAATTAATTAAGTTAGAAATAAAATGTGTCTCAGGAAAGTCCTCTTTGAATTTAACCTGTTTGGGTACTTTGAGTTTCATGTATCTGGATATATACATCTTTTCTCACATTTGGAAAGTTTTCAGCCATCATTTTAAAAGTAAGCTTTGGCCAGGTATGGTGGCTCACGCCTGTAATCCCAGTACTCTGGGAGGCTGAGGCAGATGGATCATGAGGTCAAGAGATCGAGACCATCCAGGCCAACATGATGAAACCCCGTCTCTACCAAAAATACAAAAATTAGCTGGGCGTGGTGGTGTGAGCCTATAGTCTGAGTTACTCAGGAGGCTAAGGCAGGAGAATCATCTGAACCTAAGAGGTGAAGGTTGCATTGAGCAGAGATCATGCCACTGCATTCTAGCCTGCTGACAGCATGAGACTCTGTCTCAAAAAAAAAAAAAAAGGCCGGGCGCGGTGGCTCAAGCCTGTAATCCCAGCACTTTGGGAGGCCGAGGCAGGTGGATCACGTGGTCAAGAGATCGAGACCATCCTGGTCAACATGGTGAAACCCCGTCTCTACCAAAAATACAAAAAATTAGCTGGGCATGGTGGTGCGTGCCTGTAATCCCAGCTACTCAGGAGGCTGAGGCAGGAGAATTGTCTGAACCCAGGAGGCGGAGGTTGCAGTGAGCCGAGATCGCGCCATTGCACTCCAGCCTGGGTAACATGAGTGAAACTCTGTCTCAAAAAAAAAAAAAAAAAGGAAAAGGTAAGCTTTCATCATTTTTCATCATTTCCTCTATCTCTTCTCCGGGGACTTCTGTGACATGTATTTTAGCTCTCTTGATGGTGTCCAATAAATTCCATACACTTTCTTTATTCTTTTTCATTCTTTTTTCTTTTTCACCTCTGCCTAGATAATTTCAAATGGCTTGTCTTCAACTTCACAGACACCTTCTTCAGCTTGAACAAGTCTATTCTTGATGTTCTGTATTGCATTTTCATTTTATTCATTGTATTCTTTAGCTTTAGAATTTCTGTTCTTTTTTATGCTTTATGTCCCTTTATTTCTTGCTTTGTTCATGTATTTTTTTCTTGATCTTTATTGAGTTGTCTATCTGTGTTCTCTTGTAGCTCAGAGAGCTTCCTTAAAACAATTATTTTGAATAATTTGTCAGTTTGTAGTTCTCCCTCTTTGGACAGTTACTAGAACCATATTAGGTTTTTTTGGTGATATCATATTTGCATGATTCTTCATGCTTTTTGTAGCCTTGTTACAAATGTCTATGCATTTAAAGGCACAAACACATCTGTTTTATAGACTGGTTTTGGCAAGTAAAGACCTCCTGGATCTTTACCCTGCTAGGGTCCTGGACTGATGGGTCTGTCTCCAGGATCACAGATGAGCTGGGCTGCAGCGAGGTAATTTAGCTGTTTACAATTCGACAGCTGGGTCTGTGGTTGGCAGGCCTGTTACCATAGATACAGACAGGCATGGTTCCTGTCAGACCCTCAGGTGGACAGGACTTCCTCTGGAATAGCAGTCCAGTGGGTCTAGAGCCATGTCCCAGAGCCACGTCTGTGTCTGTAGTCAAAGCTACAGGCAGCAGGCTGGTTATCAGGGGAACAGACAGGTGTGGCTCTCACTGGGTCCCTGCATGAGAGGAACAACCTCCAGGACTAAAGCAAACAGGGCTGGAGCTGAGTCACAGGGCTGCTTCGGGGTCCACAGCGGGGACCTAATTCAGCAGACCTCCCACTGGGGGCTCAGGTGGCTGTGTCTCCTGTCAGTTCCCTGAGTGGACAGGACTGCCTCCAGACCACAGCAGAGACTGGTACTGAGTGTCAAGGCTACTTCACGGTCCATGGCCAGGACGGACTTCAGTGTCCACAGCCAAAACTGAGGTTGTTGGTCCTGTTAATAAGAACACAAGTGAGTGTTACTTGGGCACTGGTCAGGCAGGACTGGGATCAGGCATGGGTCTGGGTCACAGGGCCACTTATGGATCCACAGTTGGGTTCCTTGCCTGCTGCCTGTTACTGGGGACATGAATGAGCATGACCTCTTCTGGTTCTCTTGGAAGGTGGGACGGGCTGCAGGACCACAGCAAAGCAGGGCTGAAGCAGAGTCCTTAGGGGGATGGGGCTGCTTTGGTCTACAGCTGGGACCGTATACAGTGAGCTAGCTAATGCAGTACAGGTTTGCCATCTCAAAGGAGCTCTTCTGGGTCTTAGACTTCTTTGGGGTTTCACAATCTCCTACCTGGATCTCAAAGTCTCACAAAGGCACTTTAATCTGTGGATGGCTGCCAGATGATTCTGTAGAGGAATGCAAGCTGGGGGGCACCTATTCCACCATCCTGCTCATGTTTGAAGAAATTCTTTTAACAATTCTTGCAAGGTCTAACAGCAACAGATTAATTTTTGTTTGTCTGAGAAGGTCCTTATTTCTTCTTAACTTAAAAAAAAAATAGACTTTCTTTTTAGAGCAGTTTTAAGTTCACAGCAAAATTAGAAGTAAGGTATAGAGATTTCCCATCTATCCTCTGCCACCACACACGCACACGGTCCCCCACTATTAACATTCCCCACAAGAATGGTACATTTGCTACAATGATGAACCTACATTCACACATCATTGTTACCCAAAATCCAGAGTTTATATTAGGACTCACTCTTATTGCTTGTTCTATGGGTTTGGACAAATGTATAATGACATGTATCCATTATTACAATGTCATGTGGAGTTTTTTCTTTCTTTTTTCTTTTTTTTTGACATGGAATATCCCTCTGTCACCCAGGCTGGAGTGCAGTGGCATGATCTCAGCTCACTGCAACCTCTGTTATCCAGGTTCAAGCGATTCTCCTGCCTTAGCCTCTCCAGTGGCTGGGATTATGGGCATGCACTACCATGCCCAGCTAATTTTTGTATTTTTAGTAGAGACAGAGTTTCACCATGTTGGCCAGGCTTGTCTTGAACTCCTGACCTCAAGTGATCTGCCTGTCTTGGCATTCCAAAGTCCTGGGATTACAGGCATGAGCCACCACGCCTGGTCTATGTAGAGTATTGTCACTGCCTTAAAAATCTGCTGTAGTCCAACTCTTCATCCCTCTATCCCTTACCCAACCCGACAACCATTCATCTTCTTATTGTCTGCATAGTTTTGCCTTTTCCAGAATATCATATAGCTGAAATCATAGAGTATGTAGCTTTTTCAGATTGGCTTCCTTTACTTAGTAACATGCATTTAAGTTTCCTCTGTCTTTTCATGACTTGGTAGCTTATTCCTTTTTAACACCAAATAATACTCCCTTGTGTGGACTTCCTCCAAGTTTGCAGTGGAAGAAGTCCCTTAGGCGTTAGACTGTCAAGACGTTTTGCAGGCCAGTTTATTTCTCCGTTCACCTATTGAGGTGCATCTCGGTCGCTTCTAAGTTTTGGAAATTATCAATAAAGCTGCTGTCAGCATCTGTATGCAGATCTGTTTGTTGACATAAATTTTCAACTTACTTGAGGGTTATTTTTAATAGGTACGCATTCTGAGTTTTACAAGATGAAAATGGTTCTGTGGATGGATGATGGTGATGGGAGCAGGACTATGTGAATGTGCTTTATGCCACTGAACTGTACATGTTTAAATGGTTAAGATGGTAAATTTTATGTGCATTTTACCACAATTCTTTTTTTCAATGAGAATACATTCCAAAATCTCCTACCTTGGTTTCTTGGTAAATTATCTTTAGTAAAGTTCCAACATTAGTAGGAATCAAAACCTTAAAATGCATATCTTTTGATCCAGCAATTCCATTTCTTGAAATGTATTCTAAAAAATCAGACATGGCAATAATACTGTAAATAGACACACATTTACCACCTAATATTTTTACA